CGAGCGGTGGTGAATATGTCTCAGGAAACGGCGAATCTTCTGCATTTGTCTTCTTCACCCTGCTTTCGTGAAGTTTCCACCGAAATCGTCAAAAGAGAAACCTCGTCAACCCCTCCCGCAAAAATGGCCCCTTCAACTTCCGCAATAACTTCCAAATTCCGGCCTTTTGACCTTCATCGATCCCAATTATAAGCCCTCCTCCCAAAAATCGCAAAAGGCCCCTCCCACCGATCCCATCCAGAAACTACGCAACGGGTAGCGTCCCTGGTGGAGAGGGAGGAGCCTCAGAGTGAGTGAAACACTGACTATGGCAGAAAATGGATGGCATTTGAATGGCGTGTGTAGTATGAAAAACACTACATCGATCTTTGTCGGAAATTTTCTTCAAGTAAGCCGTTTGTTATCTATGCTCTTACCCCCTTAGCATTAGAGATGCTCTTGTGTTAGAGTGAGACATGTAGAGCACAACGAAGTGCCCACAACTCTATTTTCACAAAATTCTGGTCAAAACAAAACTGCACTTACTTTGCACATTTGACGCCGATATCGTTTAATGTTGTTGGCGACCCGGCGTCGGGATCCCGAAAGAGGTGTTGCCGCAGGAAGCATCCAAGAACCATCCGGTTGTATAATGAGACCCTGATATGGTCAAAACGAAGGTAACAACAGAAATGCTTGCCAACAGTAGGCTAAACCTGTATAGCAGAAGCGCTATGTTTTCTTTTGCAAGCAGAAATTGTTGTGAAGCGCGACGTGCGAGATCAGAAAAAATTTGAAGGAGCGGTGAAAAACCTTAAAGGAATCTTCCACGGAAAGAGTGATCATTTTGTCTTGTGTGTAGGATTAGTATTATCGAAACTAACGCTTATGTTCCGTTCTTTTTGCTATGCTCATGAGGCTAGGGGCCTAAGGTATCGTTTTTCTGTGGTAATGGAGGCGGAGCTTTTTCCGTGGAAGATTCCTTTAAGCGCTCAGCGATCTGATATCAAGTTGCATATAAAAGGCTGCATGCGAATATACATATTCTTCTGTTTTTTCATCGTTTTGCGCATTTTTTCTCTCTCTTTGGCCGAGTTTATGGTTTTTTCATGGAATATCTTCTATTGGATCAATTTTTATGGTTTTTCTTGCGATATTTTTCATTGTACTGGTTTCCGCGTGGTGCTGATTATTTTGCGCTCTGAAATACTCGTTCCTAGTTGAATTACCCAAGTTTGAGGTAGATCAATAAATGGTCGATTGTGGTATCCGTGCGTAACCGGTAAAAGTCAACCCGCGTGGCACAGTTGAGTAGGAACCACGATTTTATAATGCCTCGACCGGGAATTGAACTTGGAATTGAAATGCAGCAGAAAATTTCATCACAGATAGAGGTTCTCAAAGTGGGACTACGCTTTGTTTGCGTTTGATCATATGTGAAAATTTCGACCCTTCCTGGCGTAGGAAACGTGCTTTAAAGCCACGAGTCAGGATTAGGTGACCATAGAAGGCCTTTCCATCACTAATATTTCCAGGAATGCGCTCAGAAGGGTGATGCCACACTCCTGACTCGAGATTGCGCGCCGTCAAGGCCTCTGGCCTACTACTTACAGCGATGGGTTCGTTTCATCAGCTGGTCCCGCCCACCGCGGAATGTGGTGCGTGGCTGGCCTAACGTGTGAGATCAGCTAGGCTGATTGCCGCATCAACCGATGGAACGGGTGACATGTCCGGAAAAGTCGTTTGGACGTGGCTCTCCCGCGAGCAAGCCTCCTTCACTGCTAGAAGGGAAGGGGTTTCGATGGTCTTGTCGACGGTTTCTTTGCGTTTTTTCTCCACTGTCTTTCCACCTCCCATCTCTACGCTCAATTTCAGGCACCAGAGTGCCCAAACGCGAGCCTGACTTTTGCCTTCAAATAAAGAGAAGGGCTCCTAGTGCAGTGGTAGCGATGCCGCACATGAAAGCTGCAGCGAAG